GACTGAGCAGCAGCCGGTGTGTATTTCAAACACAGCAGATGGATTTTTATATTAGCTCCTATTTCATGTTCAGGCAGAGCGACCGCCACACTAAAACCACAGCTTCAGTGCTGCCGCGTTTGCTTCTGTGAGATTAATTCTGTGAAATTAATTGGGACAAGATTGAAAAGGAAATTAAAATGCAGCTGAGTGAACAGGCCTTTCAAACACCTTTTTCCTGCTCTCTTCAAACTTGAATTCTGCGGTGGTCGCAGGCATCGTGGGAAGTAATTTACGGGAGGCAGGCTCTCAGGAGCCATCGGTTACGTATGAGGAGACCTGCACAAGCACCGCAATCTGGAGCCACTGAAGAGTGCTGAACACCCCGCTGTGGCCTGAGCTGCGTCCCTGCATGGGCGGAAGTGGAGTTCGGTCCCCGCGCCGAAAGAGCTGTTCAGAAATATCTGGGTCCGAAAGGAATGGATGCACAGCTCTGTTATTAAAATCTCCTTTTAATATATTTGCAACCCAAATTGGAACTCAGTGCATTATGTGGGCATGCAACCTTGGGTCTTAGGAATGGATAGATGAGTTGGGGGAGGCAAGAGGGGTCCTGCTGACTGTGTCTTTGGTTACTGTTTCAGAGCTGGGATAACATGGCTCTGGCCTCTCCTCAAAGAAGTTTGAGCTGTTGACCAATTTTGCCAGTGACGAATTCTCTCAGACCAGGAAAGGCACAGTGCATTTCCATGTAAAGTTTCTTCACTGGATGACCTTCTATTCCCAAGTGAGGACCTTTTGAGCTTTCAAACATCTCTGTGAAGTGTTCTGGGCAGGACAGGATATCTTTTTTTCTCTCTCAATTCACTAATAATTTATTGAACTCCTAATATGGACCCAACATTGACCTCAAAAGTTTTACTCTGTTGTTAATGGAAAAGAGGGGAATATAATCATAGTTATCATCCTAGATACCAGGCACTTCTTTACACAATTCTCTAAAGTATCACAACATCCTTTAAATAGAAATTATCCCAATTTTTACAGACAAGGAAGCTGAGGATTAGCAAGATTAAGTGACTTTGTTCAGGGTCCCATAAATAAACCACCTGTTGACAACTTGCTTCTCTAAGGACAGGCGATGGGCATTTGGATACCCAACCAATGAACTTCTCTGAAAAAAAGTTTTTTAAAGGGTAAGTAGTTCTCTTTCTGGGATCATTCCTGCCCAAAGACCCTAGACCCTAACAGACTCTCTTGGCTGGAGGATTCCAGGATTCAGGGTTGGGTCATACTTGGGCAACTATTAAAAAATAGCAAGTGTGGTATATATGTGTACACACACACACACACACACACACACACACACACACACACTGGGATACTAATCAGTCATAAAAAAGAATGAAATAATGCCATTTGCAGCAACATGGATGGACTAGAGACTATCAGAGAAGTAAATCAGATAAAGACAAATATTATATCATTTGTATGTGGAACCTGAAAAAATGGTATGTATGAAACAGAAATAGACTCAGACACAGAAAGCAAACTTATGGTTACCAACGAGGAAAGGGAGAGGGAAGGATAAATGAGAAGTTTGGGATTAGCAGATACATACTACTATATATAAAAGAGATAAACAATAAAGTCCTACTGTACGGCACAGAGAACTAAGTTCAATATCTTATAATAAACTATACTGGAAAAGAATCTGAAAAAGAATATATATGTGTAAAACTGAATCACCTTGCTGTACACTAGAAACTAACGCAATGTTGTAAATCAACTACACTTCAAAAAAAAAAAAAAACCAAAGTGGGGAAGAAAAAAGAGAGAGAGAAAGAAGCAGAAGGAAGCAGTAGGAGCCCAAGAATAGTTATTACTCCCCTATTACTACCCCACTTCCTGTTCTCTACCTGCTACTCCCTACCTCTCAGAATATTTCTCTCATCATACAAAGAGAGAGGGAAAAGCCAGATGTATTTATGAGGGTCCAAAACAAAAGAACGCAGGAGTTTTTTGGTTTAATCTGAAAAAATAATGAAAGCTAAGACATATCTTTGTGTGGAATTTCTTCAGTAGATTTGCAATGTCAGCTTCACCATGTTTGTTTAGACCGGGAATGTTTGAGGTGGAAGGAACCTCAGAGGTCTAACACAACTCCCTCATTTTACAGGCAAGGAAACCACTCCAGGTAAGTTGAGCTGCATCTTGTCTTGTCTCAGGGAAATAGACTTCTCCAGGTTCCTAAGAAGCAGGCTTTTCTTGCTTGACAAAGGTTCTACTGGTCAGAGAGAAAAGTAAAATGCAGATTTCTAGATATAATTTTTCTGGACTAACCTCAACTTGAGTCAGTTCTGTTCCTACAGGTGTGAGAGGCAGGCTGCAGAGTATAACTGACTCCAATAAAGGAAGGCAGCTGGGGTTGCGTGCATGCGTGCTAAGTCACTTCAGTCATGTCCAACTCTTTGAGACCCTCTGAACTGTAGCCTACTGGCTCCTCTGTCCATGGGATTCTCCAGGCAAGAATACTGCAGTGGGTTGCCATGCCCTTCTCTAGGGGATCTTCCCAACCCAGGGATCGAATCAGCATCTCTTACATCACCTGCATTGGTAGTCAGGATCTTCACCAAAAGTGCAGCTGAGGCTAAAGTGAAATGAATTTAGGATCCATATGAGAGAAAATTCCTGAGATTAGGAGTAACTGAACATCTGAATAGACAGACAGCTGATAATGGTAGTGGAATCTCCTTTTCTATCTGCCTGAATTGGCAAGGGAATGGATTGGGTGGCCTTTTAAGGTTGCTTCCTGTCCAAGGACTCTTATTGAGTTAAATAATATAATAAAGGTAAATCCAATCTGAAATGCTCCCCAAGCCAACGTTAACTGGAATGAAATTTTATGAGGGAAACTTCAGTTAAGCTTCTAGCTTCTCATTTCTTTACCTGACATGCAGAGGTTAGCAATGTGAAGAAGGGAGGCAACCAATGTAGCTTTTAGGGTAAGAAATGTGCTACTATCAAGGTAAGAGAAGACAACAGATTCAGGACCTTACAAAAGACAGAGAAAGAAGACCGATAGAACCGAGGCAGCAAGGTACTGCCCTTGAATTAAACTCTGATATATTAGCTTTTAGTAACGGAGGAGGGGAGGAGAGATTGGTTTAAAAAAATCCAGATTTGGGAAGGTCCCCACGTTCTTCGGTATCTCAAAATTACAACAGCCCTGGCAACCACAGACAGCTCTGTACCGCTGGGCAAGTCACTGCACAGCCCCTTCTAAATGGAGGAAAGGGACCCCCAGTGAGAAGCCATTAACAAAGGCAGAAGACATGCAAAACAAACAAAATAATCATGGCCGAGAGAGAAGGCCAGCAGACAGTCTGGCTCTGTTCCCCCCCCTCCTGCTGCAGGCACCTCAGACAATGTAAACAGTTAATTTGTTCACCTGCAGGCTCTGGGCAAACAGAGGCCTGGTCACACCTGAGTGGATAACTCGATTACCCCTGTAATGCCAGCGTGGTAATGTACACAAATTCTATTACACGGCAAACCTTGCTTTCGGGCATTTGAAATACCAATCAGGCCAATGTCCACTCCCTTCTTTGCTTTCAATTTATTCTTGGTGTATTGGAGCTGCACTGGAATGGCACTAAGGTGGGTGCTGAACTCAGAGTCTGGAAGAGATCACTAAAAGATTGTGATCTCATTCAGCAGGGATTGCAGGCCTCCCGCTGTCTCAAAAAAGGCTGGATCTGAATTTGGTCCTAGTTCAAAGAGGACGTGTAACTGCTGAAAGCTATCTTTGATCAGTCCTGGTCTTTTTTCTAACAAGCTCTGGTATATTTCAGACTGAGACAAACATCTGGCCAAGGTAATGACATTCACAGAATAAAGATGAATGGCAAATGATGGGTTATTAACACAATGGGTTTTCTATTTTGCTTTATGGAGTTTACCTGAGTATGTGTGCTAAGTTGCTTCAGTCGTGTCTTACTCTCTGCGACCCTATGGACTGTGTAGCCTGCCAAACTCCTCTGTCCTTGGGATTCTCCAGGCAAGAATACTGGAGTGGGTTGCCATGCCCTCCTCGAGGGGATCTTCCCAACCCAGGGATCGAACCAATGTCTCTCACATCTCCTGCATTGGCAGGCAGGTTCTTTACCACTACCACCACCCTCGAAGCCCATGGAGTTCACATACTCAACAATTAAAGAGCAAATTGTGCCCCTTTCAAAAATGTATTTGTTGATATTGATTGTCTTGCAGAGGGAGAGCTTTTTAACAAGTTTTTTTTCAGGGACAGAAATTTATTTCCTTAGTCCACCTGTACGGAATATGAGAAGTCTTCCTCTACAAAGATGATGCTACTGATCCTTCAAAGAGTAACCCATGAGTTCTAAATCTTCTTCACACTGGTGATGGATCTGAAACAATCTATCTTATTTTTTTTTGCCCATTCTTTGGTATTCAACAACACCATTTGTGAGGTAGTTACCTGTGGCTAGGTGCTAACTTTGTGACTGAGGAAGAGAATAAAGTTAGCCCTTGTGGATTGGATTCACTATCTTGGCCTTACAGCACTTACTCAAATAAACTGACCTAACTAGCTCTGACTTCCCCCTGCATACGTAATTATATTACAGTTTTGTTTATCTATAAATGAAATAAGGCAGCTGACCTAGCTAGAATATTTTCAAAAGTACTTTATTGTAGTAAATTATGTATATGGTAATGATGTTTTAAGCATCACATAGACCCATTTAAAAGATCAAATTTTGATTGGCATGGTTTTGGTATTGTGTCTACTTTATTGTATTTTTAAAATTCAGTTCCTGAATCTGAATTTTCAAATAAACTTTGACAATTTTAAAACAGTGGAGATTTACTCGTGTATGAGAGGGCCATGTAATACACACATGAAAAATATATGACATGGGATAATTCTGGATGGGTGACTACATCATCAGGAGTGAGAAAATGAACTTTTGATCCAAGGCCCACACTCTAACCCTTACCTTGCTCAGAATTCGGATGAGGTCACCTCGTTGGAAGGACAGTTCATCTGACTGGTCACCATGGCAATCCCATAGGCCCTGGTAATAACTGGCATAGTCCACTGATCAAAGAGAGGAGAAATCAAAGTTAAAAGGACTCTGTCTTTTTCTACGGAGCCCACATTTTTGCTGCAAATGGAAACAAGGTTCTGATATTGGCCCTAGGAAATCTAAGATTCAAGGGGTTTGGGATGAGATACAGCCAAACACTCAGCAAGACCAAATGACTGTGGGAGAAGGAGGTTATTAACTAACATTAAATGTTTACAGATCATCCTTAGTCAGATGCTATTCAATAAAATGATAAATATATTCATTTATTAATAAAAGAAAACCAGGCAGGTTAATTTTTCACTTGGTTTATAAGTAAGCAGCACAAAGAGATTTTCTGTCTGACTTTCTTCATACAGGGTATCTAAACTATCCAGTGCTTCTTTTTATTATGCATTGAAGGAATGAGATGTCTCCAACTTCTGCCTGTTTACAAGAAAGGCTGAGTCAGCCAGCACAGATCAGCACTGTGGCCTCACAGGTTGGCCTCGTCTGTTACACAGGAACTTCATCCTGCACTTCCCACCCAGGTACTTACTATATGAGGTAATTACCAATAAATGTGGAAAAGAATAGCCCAGTCCTTAAGTGGAACCAAGGGGGTGTCTCATCCATTACAACTAAATTCTGGGTGGGCTGGCCCTTTTCCAGCATCTCATTTGTAGACCCTGAACATGTCTTTCAAGATTTATCAGTAAGCCCCCTGGGGAACAGAAACCAAAGTGATCTGCATTAAAAATGAAAGCAGCTGAAGAGGACAAACCAAGCTTCAGAAACAGCTGGAGAGATTTACTGGCTCCTCAGCAAGACTAGATGGCAGTGATGCTACAGGACAGGCATTGATTCTTAACAATGAAGAATCTGTATTGATCTTCTTCTACCCGGAAAGGTTAAACACTAGAGTACAATGTGGGAGAGGATCTGGGGATGTGAATGGCAGGAGTGCTAATGCCTCCTGGACCAGGGCTAATGTGGCAGTGCTCGCCATTTCTAGGGACACTGTGTATGAGAACTGTATGCAGAACACCCACAAAAGGTGACATTCCTGATGACAGGAGTCAGGAGCCCTGGTTCTAATCAAACCTCAAGTGATTTGGGGGGCACCTTATTTTGCCAGTTTCCACCTTTCCCTTCATTTGTCTTGACCCTCCAGTGAGAGTGATGGTGCTAGTTGCTAAGGATGGGATAGGTGGAGAGAAGTGGGCAGTGTGGGGACAGAAGCTCTGCCTATATTTGCCTTTTTTCTCCTTGTTCCTAACTTACGAACAATTCAAAGAATAAAGGCACAGAAGAACAAGATCCTTATATGTCTCTGGGAAAGAACTTTAGTAGGAACCTTAAAGTGTACAAAACAGAGGAGAGACAGAGCTATTTAGTTAAGATTCAGATATTGCAAACAGAAGTGAAAATGTTAACCATATAGAAACTCAAGGATATTTTGTTTTCGCAGAGTTTATATATTCAGTAGACAACAGAGGGCAGCAAATAAGATGACTGCACTGGAAACATTCTGCCACAGAGGTAAGAACATGTTTGCGAAAAAAACCCACTGGGAAAAAAATGCTAATTACTGAAAAGACAAGGCATATTTTGGTAGGGATATCAGGGTATGAAACAACAGAAAAATATCAGTTCCTGAAAAGTGAAAGTAGTTTTCCCAGAGGATATAATGCATTTTCAGTTGTAATGTAGTTGATTATTCATGCCAAGATTTGGGCTAAGTTTAGGAATGAAAAGTACATTGACATCAATATGTTTCAAGGATTTATATATGGTAAAGAAGATCATTTTATAAAAAACAGACTTTAAAAAAACATCACTTGAGGTTTTCAAATTGTAAGACTTACAAAGTTATCTTGGCCTTTTCTGGCCTAGCAGATGGTCACTGTGGTGTATGCCCCCCACGTGCCTGGATGTGGACTAGCTCCTTGATATGATGGGTACCTTTTGAGTCTCTATGTAGAAAGTGATTTGATTTTGGGTATATAAGACACCTGTGGAGAACACCAGGAAAAAGAGCTATTCTAAAAGCGCAGCAGATTGTAGGGAATGCAAAAAGCTAGGAGAAAAACAAAAACCTTCCAAGAAAAACTAAAAGTGGAAGACACTTTCAGTTCTTCATAAGCTAAAGGCCCAAAGAAGATAGAACTCAGGAATCCAGGAGATCGCTTAACCTAGTTCAAGAACTGGAATCATCAGAACCATAACAATGCTGCTTTGGAAAATAAGCAGAATGAAGGATAAAAATGGGGGGGAGGAGGTTGGACTGACAGTCTAAACAGAGGTATCCTGGTATTAATGAAATCAGAGTGGAGGAATGTCTTAGCTGGATAAGATTGGACTCTATTGCAGACTCCCAGTTTAAAACAGGTGACTGGTATTTATGTGTATATATGCACACAACTTCACTACATTCACTCTTCAGCCTTCAGCAATCATGCAAGATGCTGGGAATTCTGCATGGGCCATACACACGGTCCCTGCCCTTAGGGCTGCCATCCAGCAGGGGTGGCACCATGAAACAGTCACACAACCATTTATTCATTTATGATTGTGATGTATCTGCAAACGAGAAGCGGAGGGTGCTGTGTATAACAGGGAATCTAACATAGTCTGAGGGATCAGGGAAGCCTTCCCTGAAGCTTTAAGTTGTAAAACAAAAACCTGATCAAACCTCAAAGAGGGGAAGAGGTAAGACCATGGAGGGCTTTATTCCTGCAGCTTGGTCCCAGGAAGAGCTTGAAGGCTGAGAGTCTGCTGGGCCAGGCCAGCTTCTCCCTAGGCTTGTCCAGCACTCCTATGAACAGAGGATGCGTGAGGAGACTCGGATGTCTTTAGACCAGTAAGGAATTGGGAGCCTGAGAGGGAGGATTGACTCTCTGGGAGGGTCTGAGGCTCCTTTAGGTTTACATTCCTTTGGCAGCAGTCTGAGATCAGAAATGGTGCAGCATTCTGACCATTTAATTAATTCAGAACATCCTCATTCTCATTTTGAGGACATTATTCCATCTAATTATTTTTTTCCAGTCTGTCCATTTGGAATGAAAAACAAAAGAATAAAGCTTAATGCCAGCATTTCTCAATGTCTCTCCAAAAAACGTAACTCTGCACTAAATAAAGCCTGGTAATTCAAAAGCAAAGCACTAATATATTCAGCATAAAACAGACAGAGGACCTAGAGCAATAATGACACCACTAATAACTAAAACAGTTATAACAATTAACAACAATTACAATGATAGAGAAGCTAATGGGTATGATCACAGCATTTAAATTGCTAGCAGAGTTGAGGAGGACTTTTACTAGAGGGAAAAAAAGGGGCAGCATCTTATTTTTTTTATCCCACGTAAGAGAAGCGATGCCCCCAAGCAGGCAAAATGTCCTAGGAGGAATAGAAGCAGAGCAAGTTAAAAATATGTTGTTTTTCTCTCTTTTCTAGGTATTTATTGCAAAGCATTTGTCATTCCACACCAAGTCTTTACAACCAGTGATAATGTCATTTCTCTAGTAACGGAGGCCAAGCTGGTGCTACTATTGACAGAGTCGATATTTGAAAATGAGCCACCATGATGTGGAGAGTCCTAAGGTGAAAGGAGAGGACACGGTTCTGCCTGCCCCCCTCCTTAGACACAACAGAGCTTGACCATGCTCTTTCCAGAGTTCACACGTCACTTTGGGTTTCTGTTTGAGAGATATTGGGGAGCTCCAGAATTCAAGCTGTGACCAAGGAAAAGAGGCTAAAGGCAAGCCAGCATGTTGTTTACATTTTCTTGATAAGCAAAAGGACTGTGCCAATGTGGCCCTGGGTATAATTACTTAACAGATTATGGAAAAGAGACAAAAGGAGAAGACAGATAAAGCCAGTTCTTGCATGAGAAATGGATAAAGAAGGCCAAAGCAGTGGCCCATTGGAAGGGACTTGAAATGTTCTCTAGCCCAGGCCATAAAGGCCACTGTGTACATACAGTCCATTAAGCAGACTCAGTCTCATAACGCATTAGCTATTTCAGAAAGAAAGAGACATAGAAAAATTTGCCAAGCTCTACTGACTATGATACCAGAACAGGAAAAGCCACTAAACAATACCATTTGCTTGTTCTCATAGCTTTTTAGTCTTTTAGTTTTGAAATTATTGGCCTTCTCTGGTGGCTCAGATGGTAAAAAATCTGCCTGCAGGAGACCAGGTTTGATTCCTGGTTCAGGAAGATGCCCTGGAGAATGGAATGGCAACCCACTCTAGTATTCTTGCCTGGAGAATTCCATTGACAGAGCTTGGAGGGCTACAGTCCACAGGGTCACAAAGAGTCAGACACAACTGAGTGACTAAGACTTTCAGTTCTGACATTATTATGGTTCCTAATGTTATAAGCATGGTCTTAAAGTGGGGCACATTCACAGATTCTAATTTTCATCCTGTGTGTTCCTTTTGTTGGCCCAAAATTATAGCTGGGTGATGATCCACTCATGTTTGGTCTTGGAAACCAGGTTTCAAAAAGTATTAATAAGAGCTGCAAATACCTCTGTGGATTCCCTCTGTTTCTTTTATGTAATAATTTACACCATTGGCAGTCACTAAAGAGGAAAAAATGCCTCAGAAATGGAAAGCTCATCAGCAATCATTTTTCTGCAGAAATGACTGAACATGGTCTCCTCCTTGGCTGAGTTTGCCCGTAACTTCAGAGCAAAAACAACCTGTTTCAAGATCTTCTTTGGTCAGAGGTTTGACATTTCTAAGGATGATTCATGCCTCCAGCCCTGCTTTTGATCTGACATGGCATAGCCAAGCAAATGGCCAGTTGTTTTCATACAAACAGCAGAGAATGAATTTTACTTTTGGCTACCTGGACATGCCTTCTCATGATAGAGAATGGAGATAAGCTATCATCACCAAAGACACTTAGTGTTAGACCGTTAGGCTGATGGGTTAGAATTTAGTGAAAATCTGAGGTGTTGAAGAGTCACTCATTAGAATAACCCTGTTACTAACAGTCAAGCTGTAAACGGAGCTCTTTATAGATTGAACAATCAATACTACAAGGCTGTGATAGATTTTCTAGGTAACAGAATAAAATAAAAGAAATTACATCTTACAGGGTCATTAACACCCAACCAGGATAAACTGAATTCTTTTTTTCTCTCTCTTCTGATAAGATCCTAGTTAGGCTTTAAAAATGTTAGCAATTCCATCAGGGAAAAAGCACAGCATTCCAGGGAAAGGATCCCTGAAATAGTGAAGAAAAGCATGTGGATTTTAAAGGTAATCCTGGTAGCCACAGTATCATTTAGGAGAAAATACTTTTCCCCCTCAAAGGGCATGTGACACCTGACTTGCCCAAGTGAACCAAACTTGTGTAGCTTGCCTATTATAGAAGAATTTACACTGTCCTGGAGCTCTTGCCTTTTATATGTCTACCCTTCCCTCAAAGCTCTATATTTTATTGTTTTAAAGCTAAGTGATGACACCTGGATGTTACATATTTGTAGCTGTTGCTATAGCTCCTTTGTAGGAAAGGCATCATATAAATTCAATAAATAAATAAGTAAATACAATAATAATAAAAATTCTTGCCTCAGATTCTGCAGAGAGAGGGAAAAGTCCTCCTTTGCTTTTTAATCCCTAAGTCACCAATCATTATAACTGGTGGGAAGTGTAAACCATAGAAATGTATTTAGAGCTCACTGCTCTTTAACAACACCTATTTTGGAGGCAAAAAGCTTGAGAAACAAAGTTTGTTTTTTTTTTTAAAGAAGTATGTGAATTATAGCTGTTGGAACAGTTAAGAGACAAATCTCTCCTCACTCTTCAGACTGAACCTTAGAAAGAGGAGTGGAGGAAGAAATAAGATGGGGGAGAAGTCTGAAACTGAATTTTAGGCTTTTGCCAGAGGGCTGCTGCTTCCTGAAGGAAGTTTAATGTAAAGTAAGAAGATTCTAGTTACTCCACCCACGCTGTCCACACGAAGTGCTTCTTTCCTGCACCAGTGAGGGAAGTTGGTTGAGAAAAGACATATGTGGGATATGGGCTGGTAAAGAAACAGACTTTTGTTGTTGTTGTTGTTGGAATTCTGTACAGCAAGTAGAACAGTAAAAAAAAAAAAAAAAAAAAATTCACAGAGGACTTAATCACAAGCGCTAACAGTCATAAGGTCCTTACTTGAAACTACACTAACATTCCTGTCATACTTGCTTCACTTCTCTTTGGCTTTGGCTCGTGACTTCTGATGCTGCCTCTTTGCTGTCTTTTCTCTCATTTGAAGAAGTTGGGTCCTTCACTAAACCTGTTACATATTTACTTCCCATGGAGAATTCACCCAGGAAATGGGCTTTGCTGAATGGATTAGGAGGAGAAGAAAAGGCACAAGGAAAGGGAGAAGGAGGAGAATGGGAAAAGGTGGAGAGGCTGGAGAAACAGAAGGGGAAAAGGATGGAAAGAGGGAAAGAATTTCTAGGCTTAAGACTTCCATAGAATCTCAAAGAAAAAGTCAGCTAGTATCTAAATCAGTCACTTCCAGGCTCTGCTGATGGCATAAATGTCCTTAAGGTGGCCTGTACATCATGTATTCCTTTATAGACAATGATAGACTAGGACCTTGGTCGACTTAAGGGGGCTTTAGAGGGGCATCTGACCTTAGAAAGGATGGGCTGACTAACAGACTGAAGCATGGTTAACAGTCTGGGATGAATAAGATGTAATTTTGTATTCAACAAACCTGTTACATATTCATTTCCAAATGTGCCTGGAATCAAACCAGGCCATCAGAAGTCAGCATCACCAAGCAATTCTATCCTTCACCCCGCGCTCACTTTTCAGATCTGACACATTTCCATTCCCCTCTGAACTTGCAATCTCCGGGCCTCTCAGACAGGAGACATTTCCATTCTTTCCATTCTCAATCCTCTGATCTTTCAGAGATGAGGCAATTCTATTTTCACTGTACTGATTTAAGAAATACTGATAGGGAAAAATAAATATCTGGTTCGGCTTCTCACCCTCTTTAGGATAAATCTTAGCTGTTCTGGGAACATTAATTAACGTGAATGGGTGGTTACTTTTAAGGTTAAGCTATTTCCCTGTCCAGTCATCTTATTTGGGGCTGTTGAGGTCAACACACCAGTACCCTCTTAGTAGCTAGTCCAGTAATGTTTGTAATCAGAGAACGGTGCTTTCTCCGGTGGGAAGCCTGAATATTCTACCCAGCACCTGTACATTTCTGAGGCTCTCATACCTCCTTTTTGTTTAGTGCCACTCTCATCCTCTTCTAGATCATGCTCTTCATCTGTGGGGATAAACATGATCATCATTAGCAATTAGTGGTCAATAGTCTGTTATTTGCACTGACGGGTCTTCTTTCTCTGAGCTCAACATGCTCTCTTCTTTAAGGCAATAATTACCGTATTCTTTTTTAAGTTTATTTATTTTTAATTTAAGGATAATTGCTTTACAGAATTGTGTTGTTTTCTGTCAAAACTCAACATGAATCTGCCATAGGTATACATATAGCCCCTCCCTTTTGAACCTCCCTCCCAATCTCCCTCCCCATCCCACCCCTCTAAGTTGATACAGAGCCCCGTTGGCGTTTCGAGCCATACAGCAAATTCCCGTTGGCTATCCACTTTACATATGATAATATAAGTTTCCATGTTACTCTTTCCACCCTCTACTCCCCTCTCCTCAGGTCCATAACTCTATTCTCTATGTCTGTTTTTCCATTGTTGCCCTGTAAATAAATTCTTCAGTACCATTCTTCTAGATTCCATATATATGCATTAGAATACGGTATCTATCTTTCTCTTTCTGACTTACTTCACTCTGTATAATAGGTTCTAGATTCATCCACCTCATTAGAACTGACTCAAAGGCATTTCTTTTTATGGTTGAGTAATATTCCATTGCATATATGTACCACAATTTCTTTATCCATTCATCTGTTGATGGACATCTAGGTTGCTTCCATATTCTAGTTATTGTAAATAGTGCTGTAATGAACAATGGGATACATGTGTCTTTTTCAATTTTGGTTCCCTCAGGGTATATGCCTCCATGTTCTTTTTTAAAAAATCATTTCTCATGTTCAAACTGGCCTTCTTTTCTTTCCCTCTCCATTCATTCATTCACAAACATTCTTAAGTGCTTACTATATGCAAGACATTGCACTAGGAGCTGGAGATGTGGTGATGGACAAGACTGGTCAGCTTCCTGCCCTTGTGAAGCTTCCAATCCACTGAATTATTTAGGTGCCTATTATTAGGATCCTAATTCTCTTTCTCAGACCCGATTTGTCCTTCCCTTTGAGAATTCTCTTCAAAATGTGTTATCTCCATGTAAGTATTCAGAGTTTGTATGTGTGAAGCTAAGCATATGTTTAAACCCTCTGTGATTAATTAATCCTTAATGTATCAAACTTTGTTCAATTGTTACCAAAGGTGGTCATATACACAATTTTATGTTCTTGGTACTTGGAGCTTGTACTTACCTTTTTACTGTTGTTATTCAGCCTGCCTCGTTCATGAGAGTATGAGCTCCTGAGGGCAGTTGGAATGAATGGCGGGTACACAATGACTTCTAAGTCAATGCCATTATCTCACTCCATCCAAGTGTTTATAAAGTCAAAGTCACAACATGATTTCTTACCTTCATTAACCTGTTTCATCCCAGACTTTGTACTACCTGATAGCATGAGAACTGGGTCCTTATCAAGAAAGTATGGGTATCAGAATCATATTGAGCTGTTTTATATGTGAGGCAAAATGCACAGAAATATACATGCTATTCTCCTTTTCATCACTATCACCCAACACACACACACACAGAAACACACACACACACACACACACACACATTCAGAGAATGAATGGGACATAAAAAGCAACATTTTGAGGGTTGAATACTAGTTTCTTCTGGCCACATGTACTTTCCTTTCTCTTTTGAATCTGAGGGCACTTACCTGTCTTGATCCCCATAGTTATACCTTTAAATGGAACTTTTGAGGTGATGGCCCAGGACAGCCTCCCCTTTAAATATAAGGTTTATAGGGTAACATGAGTTATGGTATGTCAGACTAGGAGAAGTAAACTCTAAGCTCATAACTATGAAGAAACAGCATAAGAGTATGTAACACACTACAGGACATTAAAGAATTACAATTAATTTCACATATAAAATAAAATAGTTCCCCTGCAAAAATCTAAATTAATATTGTTATTGGGATTGATACTTTGGGAAATAAATCACATTACTAACATTTAAATAGGTATATAACGTGTATATATATAATATAAGCCTGCCCTACAAGGTTGCACGGGAGAAAGACTCAAATCTCCTAATCTCTGTATATGACCCTGCAGCAGAGAATTTCCCACTCACTGCCTGTAGGACTCCCCCACCTCTCCATGAGGAATAAGGATGTGAGATAATGTAGGAGTGAGATCAAATATCGGAAATAGATCACATTGAAATAAATCACATTTAACATCATTCTTTGCACATTGTCTTCTTGTTATTACCTGCATTTCCTTCCTTTCTCTGCTATGATGCTTTTTCTTTTTGATGTGGGACCAATTTCGCAGGATTGAAAACATTCAAAGAAGAGTTGGTATGTCCTCCGTTTTAGAGATACCCAATAATGTGGACAGAACACAGCTCTTTTGCTGATATCAGACAACTTAATCACAAAGACCAGTAATTTGCTGTGCTTAGGCACTTTTGCAGAGAGGGTTTATTCTACCTCTGCTGTCTGTGCGCAGATGTCTCTTCCTCCCAATTCTAATCAATGTAAATTGGGTCAGATCTCCGCTGTGAATTACAAATTGGATCCGAAGTTGGAGGGTCACTGTGCCTGCTACTCCACCCCCTTCCCACCACCATTAGATGGGAAGCTACACCAAAGATCTTTTCTAAATAAATCAGACTTTATTGTAAAACTCGGCCACTGACGAGACATAACCTCATTAGCATTGATTTTAAAATAAATTATTGAAAGTGGCTTGCCTGCTCTTTGCATTTGTAAAACAGGAGAATGTAAATGTATTTGCAATGATAAAAATGAAAACTAAAACTTGAATCTTTTATCCTTTCAGGCAACATCACTTAAACCAGTCATGATACAAAAATGGAAAAAATAAAACTCTGCTTTATGCAGTTCAATTACAGAACAGATACTCTGATTTCCATTGGGCCTGTAGAGTCACCTAGAAAGAAAGCAGAATATTGGCCACAGGTCTTACATATCATTCATCACCGTTACTAAGCACTATGGTGGTGGTGAACCAGGACGCCCCAATCCCTATGTCTATCTAAGTCTGTCCTTCCTGGGTGGCTAAAAGCAGGCGTCAGAGTAGGAGCCCAGCCACCGAAGTGAGAGGTTGGGTGCTGTGTCTCTGTGGTCTTTGAAGGAGTAAGTATGGGGACTATCACCTGGTGAAGGCGAGTGCCCTCCCTTCACAGCTAGATGTGTCTTCTCAGCATCATCCCAGTTTCAGAGTAAAAAGTAAAAGTAAAGCGTCAGTCGCTCAGTTGTGTCTGATTCTCTGAGACTCCATGGATTGTCGCCTGCCACCCTTGCCGGGATTGTCCAGGCAATAACGCTGGAGTGGGGAGCCATTCCCTTCTCCATGGGATCTTCCTGACCCGGGTCTCCTGCATCGGCAGGCGGTTTCTTTACTGTCTGAGCCACCCAGGAAGCCCCCAGCTTCAGAGGGCACCACACAAATAGCTGAAGGCTTAGTTGCTCCGTCGTGTCCGACTCTTTACAACCCCATGGACTAGAGCCCACCAGGCTCCTCTGTTCAAGGGACTTTCCAGGCAAGAATACTGGAGTGGGTTGCCATTCCCTTCTCCAGGGGATCTTCCTGACCCAGGAATCGAATCCAGGTCTTCCGCATTGCAGGCAGATTCTTTACTGTCTGAGCTACGAGGAAAGCTGAGGCGTGCAATTTATCTCGGATCTGTCTGTGAAGTCAAACTGCTATCTTTCAAACTCCAAAGTCAAGAAGACTGATTATATGACAACAAGCAAAAAAAACTCTGCTCACAAAAGGGGGTTAAACAGCCAAATTTCTTTCTTTTTTTTTTCATCTGTAAGGTGAGACTTTAATTTTAAAAAGATTACTTTGAAAAAAAACTTTTTATGCTAAAGAACTTGTTGAATTTCTGTATAAGAATGTTATTAGGCTTTTTAGCATGACATCTACTAAAATACATCTTCATTTAAGGAGGAATTAAAATTTATGTGCTGCTCAACTTTAAACAGTAATAGATTATAATGGTTCTTGCTCCTAACAGCGCATATGGGAACCCAACCTTACACAGGCTTTAAACAAATTAACCTCTAAAGATTACTGTCCACTTATTACATTAAATGCTCTACTTGATTCCCAAATATTTCATTTCAATTGGGAAAACAGTTGAGGAAGATTCTGTTAACTGTGTGAATGTGTAAGAGAACCATGGGGTATCACAAATGAGCATCGGTATCCAGAGAGTTGGCTTCAATCAACACTCTTGGCACAATGTCAGGGACACCAATGAGAGGCTGAGAGAAACAGGACACTGACTCCACTGTGGGGACCCCGAGAGGAGCCAGCTTCCTATGACGCCTAGCTCCTTTCGGAAGTGCTGCTCTGACATCGGTTGAACTGGGAATAAAATTTTTAAAATGACTAGATAAGAAAGAGGGAGGTCACTTCTCTAAAGTAAAGCAAAGTGACAGAAGCTTTAAAAATGCCAAATGTATCAATGTGCAACCAGATGTCAAGGTGCTCTGGTGACAGATGTAGCAGAAATGCAGATAACCTCGAAGTGCAAAGGGAACAGGCAAAAAATGGAAATAGAAACCACTCCACAGAATGCATAGATATGTTATAAATCCATGGATGCTACAGCACCTCTTCAAACAACATGGCAAATAGGAGCATAATGCTAATAGCACACTTAATTCTCTGTTGTATAGCTGGTAATCTCAACTGTTACCTCAAAATATTTGCATCCTATCTCCATGGTAGGATCTTGAGTACTAGATATTAAACTCAATTTTTGCTAACTGCAACACTTGGAATACACTAAATTTCAAAAATCATAATTGAGCACCTACTAATTGGAGGAGAAAAACCTAAATACAAATCCCTGACGCAGAGCTCAGCTGCAGCTGCACCTCCGGGAGGCTGCCACTGAGGGGACTCAGAGGGGCCCCTGTCACAGACTGGGGGCGGGGATCCGAAGTAGAAGAAAATACACAGTTCCACTTCTGGTGCTGGTCAGAAGTAGGTTTGTCTGGAGCCAAGGGTGCACAGGACTGAGGGGAAGAGAAGGCCAAGAAGCTCGGAAGGGGCCTGATGGCAGCTTTGATTCTTTGATGTGCCCCTCATGGAGCCCTGCTTTTCCATGAAATTGAAACTTGTTTCTTCACAAACTTCGTACTTTTGGTGTCTGCTTTTCTTCTTTCCTTAGACTTCTTGCTATCATCATTCCCCCTTTCTGTGGGTCTGGACAATTGTATGGGGGAAAAATAATTCCACAGAATGGATTCCATTTGTCTCAAATGAAAAAAAACCCCAGTTATCTGCTTTATTATAAAGCGATCTGGTTTCTGGGTCTATAATGACCCTCCAGGGCAGTGCAGGCAGCTTCAGAATGTGCACAGACATTCCCAGGGAAGGCGCTTTGTCTCTCCATGTGCTCTCCTGAAATCTCTTTAGACAACACGGCCAGATTCTGTTGCTACTGCAGCTGCTGCGAGGCCTCAGTTACAGCTCTTCAATGGTCTCAGGTGCCTTGCTGGATTCCAGGCTCAAGGCCCCAGACAAAGAGAAACCTGATTAAAAACTGTCCTTTTATGGAATCTGGAATCATGAAACTGCGCCTGTGCTAGACTGCGAAATAATTTTGGGGAGGGGTGAAAGAGGGTTCAGAAAAGCCTTTCATTTTCCACATATTGCTTTAGTATTTCTTTGTTGGTAGTTCCCTACAGTTTAATCTACTGCAAATGAGATCTTTAAAATCAAGGGCTCCCATATTCTTAACATGGATGTTCAGAAATCCCAGTAGATAACAATCCTGAAACCATATTATCTAGGACTCACATTGTGGTCTTGGGCTGAAAACCTCAAGTGCTCTGGCTTTCCCTCAAGGGAAGGAGAGTGCTAGCAATGTAGCAAATGCTAATTATCCCATGACTAATGTGATGTAGTGCATTTAATTTGATGATCCATACACTATTTTGATTAGGAAAAAACATTTTTGTATTGACTTGGTATATGTTACAGGCACTTTTCTTTCAAAACTAGGAAGTCCATCAAAATTATATTCTGGAAGGGAGGAGATCTCACTTACACAGCCTTCCCCATAGAGACAGTGAGGCTGGTGTAGGTCCCATCCCAAAGAGGAAGGAGAAGCAGATATTCTCTACAAAGCACATTTACCTGTTACCGTGAGACATGTCTTAGAGGCCCAAGTCATTTGACTATTGATGAGTGTGCAACATTAGCACAATCCCACCTTACTGTCAATTGTCCCTCCACCCAGCACCTGTCTTCACAGTAAAAATGGGCCTGAGCAGAAGGTGCGAGCCACTTTCCATCTGCTTGGGATTTTCAGTTTCACCTGCTTCACACGTATCACTGAAAATGTCTAACCAGACTGTCTCTGGTTTGGTTGGAGGAGATGGGGAATGAACTGATTCCTAGGATTCTTCAAAGAGGCAACACTTTCTGTTTAAATGCCACCAAATGGAGAACAGCCAGCATTTCCTGAATGCTGCCTGTATGCCAGGGCTCTCAGTGCTTTATGCATTCTGTTCCAGGCTTCTCAGGCATCCTTTGTGACAGCTACTACTGTTATTCCCATTTTACAGCTGGCAAAACCACACCTGAGAAACAGGGCAGATAACTTGCTCAAGGCCTTACAGCTGGCAGATGGCAGAGCAGGTCCATCCTGACCCAGAGCCAGCGCTGTCACTGTGACATCATGCTGTGTCTCACATGTCACTGCTCAGGGGGTGGTCTTCTGAGATGAGTGTCAGGCTCCCTCACATCCTCTCTCAATTCCTCCAAGACAGGGAGGGTGGCACAGGCAAAACTAACAGCAATTTGAGAAGCAACAAGCTGAGTAGCACAGACAGGAAGCTGGCTGATGGAGACTTGTGTCTGAAATAATTGCATCATAATAAAATGCCAATATATCCCAACTTCAATGCAGTCTCTAAACTGTGATAGATAGAAGCTTTTGGGAAAGAACCTGTTGGCTGGGAACAGCCCTGTCCTTTAGAAAATAAACCAGCAAGTTGGCTGCTGTTGCCCTAATCTGGAAAGAGACCCTGGTTTTCCTGTGATGTGGCCTTCCTCACTTCTGAGGGGTAGTTGTTGTAAGCACAGGGTAAGTGGCTTTCCTCAAGAAAGTAGACCAGTCTCCATGCCCTGGGAGTCCACTCCAATATCCAAACTGGCACGAGCTTTGGCACACTGGGCAGTGCCACGATGGCTGAGGGTAGGGTTTGAAGGCGCGTGGGAAGGATGGTTGCTAAGAAACCAGTCACACATTCAGCAACCCACCTGGGGCTAGCTTTTATTTTCTGAGACATCTTTCCCTTTACTCTCCTTTGCTCTGTGTGTCTGAGCATCAGCTCCTTTCTCCCTGCTCCTTTGAGAAGTAAACACGGGCACGAGCAACCCTTCTTTGCTCCACAGAAGGCTGAGTGGCTCTGTGAGGTTTTCCCAGAGCACTCTTACACAGCTGTGACCTCAACTGGAGTGCTACCTGGATATCTCCCCCAACCTGGACAGCAGCAAGTGGAATGTGAGCTCATTAGAAACCTCTGGCCAAGCTGGGGAATACATCTCCTTTTAGGGGTTGTTGTGATTTAGATCCATTTCTGCACCCTGCTGTTGCAATGGAGCAGACTGTGAAAGGGAAGATTCTCAGAGGAGCTGTGTTTTAATGTAGCAATTTGATTCAATTTTCCACTCTATAAAATTACCCATCACTGCTCGTTGCTTTCTAACAGACACCTTCACTCTTAATTTAACAATCCTATCGAATTCTGCCAGGGAAATTGGAAAAATTTATCACCTGTGAAATTTTATTTTCCTTTGGTTGTATCTGTTTTTGTAAAACTTCATTAACGACGATGACTTGCTGAGGAAATTATCATTTTTTTTTTTTTAACTTCAGACACAAGAAATGGCTCGACCTCAACCAAGATATCATTTGCATAATAAAACACAACAAAAAGACTGGGGAAGTCGGGGACTAGCAGAGGCTGGAAGTGCTGGGAGAAGAAGCAGGCTCTTCTTGTCGTGGGTTGGTGACTGAGTGTGTGAGGTCCCAGTCAGGAGGAAAGGTGAAGCCACAGCCCTGCAACTCAGGAAGCAATGACGCGGCTTCTCCCCAAGGGAGAGAGGAACGTGGTATTGACAGGGCTGAACCCTTCTTAGGGAGCCTTGAAATGTCAGTTGCTTACTAACAATATTTTTAGCAACCAGCCCTGACTTCAGGGGCCTGAGTGTTAGGTTCACCTCAGCTTCTAGGTTCATCTGGGATTGAGGTTTAAATTGCTATAAATTTAGACTTAACTTGGATTTCTCAGTAGAGCACTGAACTCCTGGCAAATTTCCACAGGAGCGATCTTTCTGAATGGACTTGAAGATTCAGCGTTCCTGTGGTCTAACTACCTCACAATTAAAAGGCTCAGGCTTCATTTTTTGCACAGTCTGACCCCCACTGTGCTCTGCACTGTTTAGCAGCTGCTGTTACCCACACAGGAAGTGGTTGGGCGGGAGCAGTGATGACTACACAATTTTTGAGATGCTGGTTATCATGCCTTCGGAAAAAAAAGAAATAAGTACAGTAGACCTGATGTAATGGTGGGCAGAGGACACACGTTAGGTCTATTAGCAAGAGATGTGATTTGATTTGTGGTATATCTGGACTAGGCAAGGGTGAACTGTGCTCTGTCAAGGCTTTACTGTGTTACTGAAAAGGCTTGTCGGCGTTTATATTTCTGCAGTCTTTTCATATCCTTCATCATTTGAGGTGACTTTCCATTATCCTCACAATTACACAGAAAAGAAGTTCGAACTAGACAGTTTTGATGAAACTCATGGTAAACCTATGAGAACCAGCATGAGTATTCTTGACTCTTGAACCTGTTGATGTTTTTAATAAATTACTTCACGTGCAGAGATAAAAGACACTCCCCACCCCCATCAACCCATCTTGACCCCAGGGCAGGGCTTCTGTGCTGGGAATCACGGAAGGTTCCTTGCAGTGCCTCCATCAGAGGTTTGGCTTCCTCTGGAGCTGTCCAAGTTATATTCTTCTACCAGGTCTAGAGTCTCTAAACTAGAGGAAGGTAATTAGAAGACGAAATGTCTCACCTGGTAAGATTTCATAAATATCTTCTTCTTTCTCCCCCATCGGTTCTTTGAGCCCCACGCTCCCAGGCAAGATAATGGGTCTGCTTTGGGAACCAGAATTTGAGGAGTCAAAACCATCGATATCATCGTACATCTCTTCTTCCTCTTTCTCCTCTTCTTCCTCCTCCTCTTCCTCCTCTTCATATGGAATGGTTAAGGAGCTCAGGTCTGTCAGGGCAGAGATGAGAATGAATCAAGATAGAGTAAGAAGGAGAAGGACAAGGCAGGGAAGGAAAGAGGGAGAAGGAGGAGGAGGGATGAGAATAAAACACGTCAAAAGAAAATGAAACACCAGGTTAAGTGCTGTTATTTCTAGTGCGGGACTTGGTGGCAGGAAATCTACAGAAAAGGCCAGACTAGCACTGCATCAGGTTTAAACCATCAACATAAATCCTTCCTTGCAATAAAACTTGATCAGGATGAAGCAGCCCTGAAAAGTATGGGTGTGTGAGAGCACATGAGGTGAAGGGAAGAGAATAGGCCAGAAGAGGAAATGCCAGCGTGCTTCGCGCTGCTTGTCAAGTGGAAAACTGGGAGGGTGAGTGATGGCCTAGGTTCTCCGGGGCGCACAGAGCCTGGGAACTATGGTGGCTTCCATAGGATACCTGAGCTGTCGCAAGCTCATTCATCTCCCCCATGGTCTCACTGCAGAATTTCAGAGAGGTGTGCTTGTAAAGAGAAAAGTGGGCAAAAGTGGAAGAGGAAGAGAAAGTGGGATGTGGAAAAATATAACGGTAATACAGGACCAGAACGAATGGCTGAGTGATGTGGTTTCCATGTCCTTTTGCAACTGTACAGTCTGGCTGACCTTAAAATGGGTCACCACAGAGAGGATGTTGAGCCATTACAGCACTGGGGGGCACAGGGCAGGAGAGGGAGATTGCTTCCTTATTTTAATGGGGACTGGGAAGGTTCATTCTCTGAGGTGCAGTACAGAATGCTCTCTGGAACCCTGCTGAGGGGCCTCTGCAGGACGGGCGAGAGCAAGCCGGGTGCTCTGGGGAAGAAAGAATAGACAGACATCCGATGCTCATTTTGAAATACAGTAAAAATGTTTGGCTTGATTAGGCTTTTAATCAAGATTTTGCAACTATTTTCATCTGAATTCTGGTGCCACCTCATATGAGGAAGGGATCAAAGACACATCTGTGGCTTAAACCATATGTTATTATTTTGTTTGTTTTAAAATAAAATGGAATGAATAATTTCTTCAATGTGGGATTCTGAAAGTACCACAGGGTACAGCTCAATAAAGCTGCTTGGAGTTTTATTGAGGTTTACACACTTAGGGGTATATTACACGCATAAATCCAAGGCACCTAGATGAGAGCGTACCCTGTAGTCTCACCATCAGTGTTCATGTTTGCCTAGTTCTAGTCTATTATACGTGACGCTCTTGGTAGATGCAATAGTTTGTTCCTGTGATAGTAAAGGCATAAACTGAGTAAAGGAGGCAATTGTAATTAAAGCTCTGGTGCTTCCTTCTTTTTTATCCACAATAAAATCTTATAGCAGAATTTAAAAAACTAGATGAAAAGGCTTGGTGTTTTAAGTTGATGTTCTTCTCCCTAGGTCTTGGGTCACGTATGAAGTTGGTGCTTCTGCCTTTCTGCAGAGGCAGGGTCCTGCCATGAGGTATGTGTACCATCAAGAGGGTTATCAATGTCAGGTGACAGACTCTTGGCTGACTGCTCCTACCTGCTGGGCCCCTCCCAGACAAGGCTGCCTGGGCCCCTGTCACTGCTGTGCCTACAGGATGGCCAGCAGAGGGTACTCTAAGAGCAGGCATTTGACATCCTCAGGCAGGAGTCTTCCCAGTCAAAGTAAAGAACATTTGATTGTGGTTTGCGAACAGCAATTTGTTTTTTTGTGTTCAATGTTCTTAAAGGCCACCTAGATGAGTTTAGATTTCTACTTGACTAAAACTGGAAGATTTTGAACCTAAACCACATCTAGATGACTTTGGTATCCTGTATTTCTTTTCCAGAATATAAGGGGTTATGAGACACTGAATTGAGCGGAGCTGGTTTTTAGCATCTCTTTTCTGGTGATTATAAATATTACGGACTTGCCTGTAGGTAGGTGGAAGAGCTAGAATGATACTAGAGGTCACCTCCAGGTTGATGGTTTCTTTTCCTTCTGAATCACATACGGTACTATTTGTTGTTATCATGTGAAAGATAAGATAGGGAGAATGGGCAGATAAAAATATATTGAAGCCCATGGAGTATAGTTATGCAATACAACTTGAATTGAAAATGGACTGAAATACTGTTTCTGTAATAATGATACTTACCCTTTAACAAGAAACCTATTTGATCCACCCAGTCTCTGGCTTCAGCTGGACTAGAAGCTGTAAACTAGAGAAAAATTAGTGAATTAGTGTATCACTTCCACTAAAATTTCTGTGAATCCTTTAGGGAGGTTCAAGGGGAGGAATATTACGAGCTGAACTGCAGAGTCAAGTAGAAGGCTCAGAATTCTCATTAATTCTCAGATTCCTGAGAATTAACATTTAGAACAAAGATCAAAATCCCACTCAAAGTGATTTTTCTCCTTCAGTAACTTTGCATACCCAAAGTTGACAGCTGGATTTGAATCCAGATTTCATGTTCATGTGCATTCATTCATTTGATTACCCATTCATTCATCAGGCATTTATTGAGAACAGTTTACAGAGAAAAAGGCAAACCCAAATTCCTGACTTCAGATCAACATGTCAGTTTTGGAGACGGCACACACGTGACAAGGGACACTACGAAGCAACTGCGTTTGCAAACAGCTGGATGTTGAGAGAAGACAGGGAGCACATCATCACCCATGGTAAGCCAGGGAGGCTCGCTGAAGTAACACTGTTTGGGTTGAATTTTTAAAGAGAGTTGGTGGAAACTGGTGGAGGGAGCTGAACATTTCAGGTAGGGAGAACCAGCCACCAAAGATTAGAAATGAGACCATCAAGTATAGGGAAGGTAGGCAGATCAGCTTGACTGGAGAACAGTAACAGATGAAGCTGGAGAACTGAGGGTCAAAGAAGAACTGATGAAAAGGCTTTGAGTATGAGGAATTCAGATTTCAAGGGCAGGCGGTACAGATGAAGCCACTGTAAATTCTAGCAAAAGGAGAGGGAGATTCTGTCAGTTGTGAGTAGGACAGACTGAAATAGGGAGAAATTAGAGACAGATCAACTGGAAGGCTACTTAACTAGTCCTCTGAATGAAGTGATAGGGACTTACCTATTGTGATGGCTGTAGAAATAAATCAGAAGGAAAAGATCCAAAGGATATTGTAGAGGAAGAATCCACAGACTATAGTAATGACATGGATTCAATGGGCCAAAGAAAAGAAGTAAATAAACTCTACATCCTGATTCACAAACAGGCCAATCAAGTATCAGGCTTTAGTAATTTCTTATTTTAAATGAATCAACTTGAAATGACTGTTCCTGAAAAACATTTTTATTATCTGGTCATTAGGTAAGATAAAAACATGTGCTGTATAAGAAACCTAGATTCCTGCTTAAAACTTATTAATAAATATTGTCATTCTTGATTTCTTAAAAACACTTGTCTATAAAAATGACTAGGAAAATTGTTTTAGATATATAAATTTTTATCTGGGCCTTGCAAATCCAAACTTCCTAATAAAAATAGATTTATAAAAAATTTCATAGAAAAGTTTGGTTTAAATTAAAAAGTTTTTTTTGAAATTACATAATTAAAACCTAGGTCATTTTTACAAAATAAGGGCTAGGATACTGTAGAAACATGAAAGGATGAGTGCTGAGAAAGACTTGAAGGGTCAAAGGGTTACATAAGTGGTTAACATTAACCTTAGCATGGCTTTTCTCTTTTTCTTAAGTTAGCTAAAGTTTTTCTAAATTGTTTTAGTAAAACTGTGATAAAAGTAGCCAACAAGGAGGAAACAATATGTGTATACACACACACAATATATGTATTCAATGTAAAAGTATATTTTTGGTGAAAAATCACTATATTCCCATATTCAGACTATTTTTGGCCTTTTAAATTTTATAATTCATTACCTATTATATAAAAATATATAAAAATGAACACAGTGAAGACTGTCTCTCTCACCCCCATTCAAGTCCTCTAGTTCCTTAGTAGTCACTATTATTACTCAGTACTCATTGCTTCTAGTATCTTAGAAATCTTTCCAGAGATATGCAGTGCATCTACACACAGGAAGATTATTTTGGATAGCAAGATGAATATGTGAAAATGAATTATTTCTTCACCGTACAGTCAGATTTCTCTTTTTCTGGATTTCATAAAAGGAAGTGAGGATAATCAGTTGAAAAAGAAAGACAGTGGAAATTAAAGCCAAGGAATTAGAGACTCTGAATAAAGAACTGGGTTGTGTGCTGCAATAGACAAGACTTTCACCTACAGAATGAGACTGAGAAGGGAAGGGATGAAGAGACAGAAGCCCGGCAAAGGCAGGATCTAGGATGAATGTGGCAATAGAAGGGTGGGCACGACACAGCGAAGGTGAGGACGTGTCAAGAAAGAAGGTCTTGGTAAGAAACGACAGGTGACAAAGGATGGCATCCAGCGTCACAACCACAGCTCACACGCACCAGGGAACGAAACTGCGACACTAATGAGGATCTCCATCTCCTCGGCTCATCCTACCTCATAGCTGCGCCTATCCTGGGAGGTCAGCTCAAAGCAGGATTCTTTCTTGGAATCTTTTCGCAGGTAGGGGGCCATCCGTACACTGTAGCCCTTAATGAGGAAGATCCCTTTGGGCTGCTTGCCTGCAAGACAGGAAAGCTTCCTTTATCTCTAGAGAGATGCAACTGCCAAGGGAGGGCATCTTCTCTGGATGTAAAATAGAAGCACAGAAACAGCTGTTACCTCCCTGAGGAACCACAATAGTCGAGGAAGGGTTATTAGAGAAGCTTAAGAAGAGGCTACTGTGACAGCCAGGCAGAGATCACTGCCAAGCTAGGGAATGCAACGTGAAAGATTATTTTGCCAAAAGAGTACAGCAGAGACAGAGAATTTATCAGAATGTTAAGAGATCTATAATGAGAGAAAGAAGAAATTATTACAGCGGGGAGAGTTATGGCTGTACACACGAGGCTCTTGAAGGCTATTATAGAGCTGAAACGTTATCATCAGGGCCAGCAGAGCATGTGCGAGGGGAGGGACAGCAGTCCAAGGGGCATCGTAAGTCCGGGTTCTCCTCCTACGTCCTACGTAGCATGTGGGCTACACTTCTCTTCCTCTCCTGCTGGTCAGGTGGAAGTTCATGCTGGAGGAAGAGTAATTAAAACTCAGTGTTTTATCCCCCTTGCAAGCAGTCAGATTGGGAAGCAGCAGACTACTGTTGAGTGTCATTAGATGATGAGGAAGGAAGTATAAAAGGAAAAGGACCCTAAGTATCACTCTCTTAAAAAAAAATTAGAAACCGAAAAAGAGGGGGTGGTTCCCAATGATTTTGTGTCCTTGTGGTGTGGTTCAGAACTTGTAGAAGAACAGAACCACAGTGTCTGAGTGATGCTTCCTGTCCTGTAGAATGAATTTCTTTCTTTTGGCCGCCCTCACAGCATGTGGTTCCCTGACGAGGTTTTCAACCCATGCCCCCTTGCATTGGAAGTATGGAGTCTTGACCACGGGGCCACCAGGGAAGTCCCTAGAATGAATTACTTTTTGATGATGATGATGAGAGGGATGGCGGTGGGAAGAAAATAGTTACAGAAAAGTAAAAGAATCTGTCCTCACCTGGTTGAGCTAAAAGAAATACACAAACACTCTATACTTACTAAGAAAATGTCTTGGGCACAATAAGAAGTAACTGGCAAGAAGGGAGCCATGCAATAGTGCTTTTTGACACCAGAATCCTTTTTTTTAAAGTATCTCTCCTTGTTCTAACTGGCCACTAAAATGTTTTGTTGTTCTTTGGTCACCAGATTTTATTTCACTCTGATGGCAAAATGGTCAATAAAAGTCTCCAAGCCTCTCGCTCTTGCTCTCCCTCCTCACCTTGAGTGGGAAGGATTCTGAATGAATGAACGTGATACTTGGTTTTATATCCAGATATACCAACCACATATTTAAATGTAAGGGAAATGATAAACATTTTACCAAGGACACATATGTTACATTAGTTTGAAGTTTCAAAATAAGAAAATAAAACCTGGCTGGCCTAGAATTCAGGGGAGAAATTTTAGTTGCTGGATTTGAGAGTGGGCTAGGGGCTGGAAGGATGCAGGGGGCTTATTATTCAGGTTCTGAGTTATGCTGCTATCATTTCCAAGTACACCTCACACTTTACCCATATATGGTAAAGGCTCTGAGGAATCGTGATGGTGAACCCAAGATGAAGGTTAGTGATAACTGTTTCAGGCAGAGAGGCAGAGTGAGGTAATTGCCTTGAAGCCCAAGATCTAATCTGTAGGATTCCATGTCACTTAGCAAAGCTGTTCTTTCTGCTACCTTTGAGCCAAAGGTGCTGGAAGTCCAAGGGCAACTCTGTAAGTATCTGACTATTCCCTTGACTAGGTATCCAGGCTTTGGGAGAGGAATAAGTCCAGGAAAGAAGGAAGAGAGGAGAAACAGAAAATTACTGAAAGGACAATAAAGGATTTACTTTGGACCAATGGCCTCTGTAAGGTGGTAGAACTCAAAGAAATCCCCGCAAGATTGCTACTTTATCTTCCTCTTGCATTGCAGCATTATTCCTGCGGCAGTCTATCTGGCAGGAATTCCCTATTTCAAAGTTTGCATTCACTGACAGTGATAACTTTTAGCTTGTAGTTATTTGTAGCTCCTCTGGTTTGTGCTTATATCCTCTATTCCTTCTCATGAACTAAGCAAGAGTGTTAAGCCAGGATGGGAGGTCTTTTAGGGATAGCTCATGAGTGTTGTGGTTGATTGAGTCAGTGGTGGCTCATAAGAAGCTGCTTCTGGCTTGGGTCAACACTTTGCTGCTGCTGCCATCTGGCTGAAGGGTGTCTCTCGGGCACAGCAACTCTTGGGGTCTCGAAACTCCATGGCTCTAGGGATGTCCATTGGATTACATCCCAGGAGCCAGTAAGATAAAGTTTGAAGCATGCTCTTAGAGAGTTCATACTCAAAGATTATATTTCTGGGCTGTTGGTAAGCTGCTAAAATCCTTCTCAGAATTATTATTTTTCAATATTTAACCTATATTATTAGTGCCTATAAAGTGTTTGGGGTTCTTTTTTAACAAATGCCAAGGCATTTGACCTCGATGATATGTTATTAGTCATAAGGTAGCCTTTTGATACGCTGACCACACTACCCTAATGCTTAAAGGGGCTATAATTTCTAAATTGGTAAGAGTTTTTGGTGATGAGCAAGGTATTATTTAGCCAAGCTTCTTTCCCAAGCATGTCTCTTTATGGGTGTTAGTTAAGGACTACTAAGTTTAGATCTAAGTGCTTGAGAATTTACGAAGTGCTTGCATCCAGGAGTGAGAAGCTGCTGTGCAAATGAAGAACACTTACTTTTCTCATTAGCATAGTAGTAGAAGAGGCCTCTGCTGACAACACACCATCGCTTCTGCCACTCTGATCCAAAGAAACTATGATCTAAACAGAAGAGCAGTAAGGGACATAAATTCAGGTAACTACAATCACTGAAGAGTCCGTAAAATCCAACAACACACAGTCCAGTGTGTTATTGTTTTATTTTCCAGGTTAATGGACTGTAAAACCCTCCCTTTCACTCCCACAGGTTATCCCATATTGACTCAGAGTGCAGAGGACTCACTCAGTTAAAGGCCCAAGTTCTAAACAGGTTTTCCTTGCTCTGACCTCAGCTGTTTCTCTACATTTTCTTTATCTTTCAGGTTCTATTCTCACCCTGTAGTTATAAAATTCTCCACATCTCCAGATCTTTATGTGTCATTGCCTTTTCAGTTCACTTCAGTCGCTCAGTTGTGTCTGACTCTTTGCGACCCCATGAACTGCAGCATGCCAGGCCTCCCTGTCCATCACCAACTCCCGGAGTCCACCCAAACCCATGTCCATGACACTCTAGGCCATGGGCATGAGCAAGGCTTTCTTTGTACTAAGCCAATATGCCTGAGTGTTAAACCTGGTACTCCAACCCTACTATCCTAATTAAAGAGTGAGAGCTGAAGATTCGGACTTGTCTGAAACTTGAAAGTGGGCTGCTCCACATATGATATAAAAATTACACTTGAGGCAACACAGTTTCACTTTTTATGGGTGCACACTGAGAGATGAGAACAAGAATACAGTCATTCATTTATTCATTCAACAAGTAATTACTAAGCAGGTGTACCAGGTGAGCAAGACAAAAACCAATCCCTGTCCTGGTGAAGTGGAGATTTGGGGCCAGGTCTTTCCAGCCTACACACAGATACCAGACTTTTCTTTTTTTCCTTTCCTCTTGCCTTATACCTGCCTAGTATAGTAGTGGGCATAGAGAATGCATTCCCTATGATGGCCCTCTTTTTCCTCATTTCCATTCTCTTCTTGGAATATTCTGAGATCTGGGGGTCTAATCAGTACCTTTGCTTTTCTTCTCTAAGTATCCTTGCTTGATGATATTATCAAGCTCTTGAGCTCCTCTTTCGATGTCTTCCATTCCTAAAAGGAATAAGAGCAAAATGTTTTGTTGAAATCTGACAGAATTTTCATTGATTTGGGCTACTTGAGATAATCTACATTAATGAAGAGATGCAGACAGGCTATTGCTTAAATATGATACAGAATAAAACAATTTCTAGATGACTGGAGGGGAGTAAATTTTCTTTCTTTCTAATTATATCTAATGCTGAGATTGCTTAAAATGACTTAAACATAATATTAGTCTGTACAAGGGAGGTTGTTTAAATGTGCACTGATTGGTAAGAAAAAGGACTCCAAAAAACTAAGAATTTGCTTAACTAAACACACACTCACCTTTTTCTAACAAACAGACAGTCACCTTAGTAAACATATTTTTATTAAGTTCACACAAAGAAAGCTAAGCATAGCTGAAATTGGCAATAATTGCCAAATCCCAGTTCTGTCAGTGTCAAGGGAAAAGTCTAGGAATGGAAGAAGCCTTTACACAGAGAAGATCTGGATCTGACATCAGCTTTTAATTGTATGCTGCTAACACTCTTGGCTTTCAATCAGCCTCGTTAGGTACAAATTTATTGAGAAGTCAAGATCCTAATTTGTCTTCCACCACTAGGGTTTATGTTTATTTTACAGGAGGGAGGGGTAGAGGTCAGAGACAAAGAGGAAGGAATTTAGTTCTCAAAAAAATAAAAAACAAAAACAATTTAAAACTCTGTACTTAATTAGGAGAAATGAAGGGAGTGGGCTAGCATAGTCCTAATATTCATTCTTTTGAGGTTTGGGGACTAAACCTTTTGCTTCTATGCTGTTTCCAGCTTAGTTTCAAAAATGTAGATCAGAAGAGCTTTTCTTTTTTAGCTGAGTGCCTGATTCTTTTTCCTATTTGTTCTTATTTTCAACTTCTTGTTCATGGGCTGTTTCCATTTGTGTGTTATGCAGTTAGCAAACTCTGTGGCTGCTATAAATCTCCTGGATGGGTCTCCGGGTGCACACATGAGATGAACAGCAGCAAAGGAAAGTTCATCTGTCTAGGATTCTTTCATTTCTCCCACCCTTCTGAAAATTCTAATATCTCTTTGAAAATGCTCTCCAAGAAAATAGAAACAGATCATACTGAGGGTGAGGACCTGGTACAGCTAAGAAGGCCCTTTGAAGGAGAACCTATCCTCTCTGCCATGCTGTCAAAAAAAAATTGCTCCTAGAGATCTAAAAATTAAATGAAAGACACAAGGGATAAGAAAAACAGGATCCTTTAAGCCTGGAGTTTCCATCTTTTCTTCCCACCATTTTTTTTTCCCTTTTTTTAAGGTTTTGTTAAACTTAGAGACACAGTTTCTTGTTAAAGATGCCGAGAGTCTGAATCATAAAAGACATGTTAAACGTTCTATTAGAATTCAAATCTCCTTTTTTAATGCAAATCTAAATGCCATTTTATGGAACATCTATAATTATGAAAATGGGAAGACATTGCCTCGTGTGCGGGGAGAGTCTGTGAGTATGAATATTACATTAATGGGCCCACACCAGCTCACTGATCCTGCTGGCAGGAGCATAAAAAATGCTTGAGTGAAACTTTTATTTAGATGTTAAGACTCCAGGCCCCAGCGGGGTGACAGAGACAGTCCCTGTGAGTTGCCATCCGAGAGAGCTTGAATTGAATTACCCAGGGGGGAAGGAAGTAGTGATGAGCACTGCTTCGCTTATTTAATTTCATTTACTTTCAGTACATTATCAGCATGAGGCTTTTCTCTCCCCACCAACTGAAACCCAAGAATGCCACCACCAAGAAAACAAAGACATAATGCAGCATAGATGTTTGAATTCAAAGTCACTAATTTTAGGAGACTAGGGACAGCACCATCACTACCTTCTCACTCTAAAAGTCACACTTGGTTTGCTAAAATTAGGCACTGAATGAGTTGCTGAATTTCCTCTCTTGGTCATCCATCAACAAAATTCTGAAGACGAAGAGAGCTGGAAATACAGTATTTTATATGCTGTGTTTTTGTAAGATGTGTTATGTTGCTTTCCTATCAGAGGGAATCTGTATTGATGAACTCTCTTCCCTGCATTCCCTTATGGGCAGTGGAAAAAAAACGGGATTATAGGTGAAATTTGGAATGGCTAGGGAAAAAAATCAGATCAAATCAATTTTTATTCTGTTGATTGTCTTCTATGTCTAAGGCACTCTGTGACGAGTGCAATAACAGAATTGTTCTCAATGTAAAGTTGACTCTGAGCCCAATCTTATTACCTCCATGATCTATTAGATAAACCCAGATGGGATCCAGATCAATCTCAATCCAAGGTGAGAAGCCACTGTGGCAATCAAGTTCTCTCCCCTTTCAGTGTCAGCTCAGGGTCTCACTGATCAAGAAATGGTGGTCCTGAGGATATACACATTAACTCCAGTCCTGTGTGATGAGGCTGGAAGAGCCCTGTATGCCTGAATTCACAAGTGAACCGATATGCAGAGTTACTAAATATGTAATAGAAAGTATGTAGATGTTTTACAGGATGGTAATAAAAATATCATTTTTATTATCATAAAGTTGGAAGGAAGAGGCCACAAATAATTGCATGAGTTGCTATTTTAAGGCAAAACATTTAAGTATATAATTAAAAAAAAAAAATCAAGGCTTTTTGTCCACTACCTAAAAAAGATATCACCACCTTGATGGAAAAAAAAAAAAAGAAATTATTTAGATTTATTGGGAATAAATTGCCCTTTGGATAAACCTAGGCGTGTATCACATTATATCAGCACAAAACAGAATTGCATTAGTGTCATAATCTCTCTCTACTACTGCACTTAACTAAATCTCTCAGAATAGCCCATATAAAGAAAAGATTCACTTAGCTGAAGGATGTGGGGCTATAAAGATAAGATCAACAGAGAAGAGTGTTACCCAGAAGTGATGGCCACCCAACTTTCATGACAGATGAAGATAAAAGAAATTCTCAGACATCTTTCTTTCCCCATCCGGATTCCTTTAAACCCTGTATCCCACCCATACCTCCTCTGCAGAGTAGAAGTCCATCTCTCAGCACTAAGCATGACTCCTTAGTTAGCCACGCACAGCAACAACAATGGGGGCCCTTTGGAGTGTGATACATTTCCATAAAGTAGTCAATAAAAAAGACACGGGAGCTTATGTGAGTCACGGCCTATTTAATCAGCTGCATTCTAGCCCACTGAGAAAAGAGAATTGGAGAAATCAGTTGGCAATACCACAGCACAAGGCTAATAGCACAAGAGGCCGCACAATTTCTATTGCAAAAAGGTTGCAGCTCTTGCAGAAAAAAACAGTCCCCACAAACTTTCATTATAGGTACTGGCTTGGTCTCTTGCCCAATCAACCTGAAATGAAAATCAATTATTTAAAAAATTCCATCTTTTGTTAAACATTCTCCTCTCCCTAAACTGGACTTCTATCCTCTCCTTTCCTTTTAATCCGGGTTCTTTTCAATTGTTTGAAAAAAGTGACCAAGTCAACTCCATCCTGGAGATGGATAGCTACCTGGGGTGAATTTCAGGCAGGATGAAGTTAACCAGTTTCTTTCATTAAAGTACCCATGATATAGGACCTGGGATTTTGGGGGATGAGGTTGGATAAAATCTAAAATTAGAAGGTTGGGAATGGTCAAGTTCCATTTGTGATTACAATTCACTCACAGATCACTGGTATGTGTGTGCATCTGCAAAATGACAAATATACTTCACAGTGTCTCAAATGGACAAAATCAAATGGGATATTGCAGGTCAGGTAGGGTGGGAGGGATAGTAGTCTCCTGTCTGATGGTTGTTAATCTCCATCATCACTTTGCAGACAAAGGTCTGTATAGTCAAACCTATGGTTTTTTTCAGTAGTCACGTATGGACCATACATGAGAGTTGGACCATAAAGAAGGCTGAGCACCAAAGAATTGATGCTTTTGAACTGTGGTGTTGGAGAAGATTCTTGAGAGTCCCTTGGACAGCAGAGATCAAACCAGCAATCTTAAGGGAAATCAACCCTGAATATACATTGGAAGGACTGATGCTGAAGCTGAAATTCCAATACTTTGGCCACCTGAGGCAAAGAGCCAACTCATTGGGAAAGACCCTGATACTGGGAATGATTGAGGGCTGGAGGAAAAGGGGGCAACAGAGGATGAGATGGTTATCGACTCAATGGACATGAGTTTGAGCCAACTCCGGGACACAGTGAAAGACAGAGAAGCCTGGCATGCTGCAGTCCATGGGGCCGCAAAGAGTTGGACATGACTGAGCAACTGAATAATCTGTTAGTTAAATCCTCTCCTTTGTTTCTGGTTTCTGAGTCCTTTTTATTAATAAGTTCATTACTATTTTTCTTAGCTTCTTGCATTTCTGGATTACTTTTTGCTTCTTTTCTCAATTTTCAGGAACCAGTCAATAAATGACAGTTTGAGGTGTTTGGCAGGAAGTGTTCATCTTCTACAAATGAAACAGGGACAACGGTTTCAATGATTCGTCCTTCATTAGTCCCTTGGGACAGGCTTACATAAATCTGCTATGGTTCCATTCAATATCCACTTGAGTTTACATTTATTTCTCACAGTCTTTGTGCTTCGCTTATTAAGGAATATAGACTAACACATGTAAGGTGAAAAATTCTAAGCCATTAATAATAATAGACTTAGGATCTAAGAGTTTCAAAGACATGGAAGCCTTTAATCTCATGGAGAAAAAAACTGGATAGCAGATGAAAGGAAGGGTTTGAATACAAAGTACTTAACCAAGTTCTTCAACAAACCGTGGCATAAACTAAGAAACAAAATAAGTGCAATTGGAGCTAGACTGAAGGACATCAGAGAATGGTAGAAATCACACATATGGTTAAAACCAATGCAGGAGACAAATATTCAGGAGATCTTGATGGACCCTTGTTTCCCCTCCAGTATTTTAAGGTCTTTAAAAAAAATCTGTTAATCCAGGTAACAGACCAAACTGTGTAAAAATCTGTGGAAGAAATTTGTTACACTGAGGATACAGAAAA